CGCACACACGCACGCACGCACGCACACACACACACACACACACGCACGCACGCACCCACACACACACACACGCACGCACGCACACACACACACACACACACACACACACACGCACACACACACACGCACGCACGCACGCACCCACACACACACACACACACACACGCACGCACGCACGCACACACACACACACCAACACAACACAACACAACACAACACAACACAACACAACACAACACAACACAACACAACACAACACAACACAACACACACACACACACCGGGGCACGCACTCCGTTTGCGGGATCCCGACTCATACCCACCCTACCTCCTTGGCGGCGGCGGCTACGGCCGGACCCAGGACAGAGGAACATCCTTCAAGAACATGCGACCCTCCGCCAGCCAAACTGAAGAACACTCGAGGGCACCCTCCCCCGCGATGCAGAAGAGCACTCAACAGCCGCGCAGAACAGGAAGGTACCCTCCCCGAGCCGACCTCTCGATCTCCTACTGCGGCCCGACCGCAGTCTTTTCTCCTGCGCAGGCAGGCCCCGAAAGCAGCAGCAGCAGGCCATGGCCAAGCAAAGCACGGCCACACGCGCCAGGGCGCGACAGCGCCCCCTGCGCGCGACGGCTCCCGCATGCAGGCCAGGGGCGTGTGCGAGCAGGCACTCTGCGCTGGAGGCGGGGGCGCGCTTTGGTGCGCGACTCTACGCGGGAGGCCTGCGCGAGAGCGCCTGCGCACCCCGCTCCGCGACAGACTCGCGCGTGCTGGCCACACGGTCAGATCGGATGGCTCGTCTTCTCTTCGTGGCCGTGATCGCCCGCGTGTGCCCCTCTCTGTTTCGGAGTGTTGCCTCCTCCCTCCCCCCACCCAGTCCTCGATCTTCGGATCCCTGAGATCCTCGATCCCTCGATGCGGGCAATACTTCTGTCCATGTCCACTGCAGCTGGGAGTTCAGGGGACCCTCCCCAAAAGCCCGAGGCGCACTGGATGTTTATACAAAATCTGCTCCCTTGGAGGCTCAATCTTTATCCACATCCAGTGCGCCTCGGCCTCGTGGCGCCATTTCCGCAGTTCAAGACGCACTGGACATGGACGTAAATACTGCCCGCAATTCAATCCTCGATCTTCTGATCCCTCAGATCCTCGACCCCGCGATCCTCGAAGCCCATCGAGGTGCGGGGCGTCAGCCGCCGATGGCCTCGCCGCCCCGTGCGACGCAGGAGCGACTCCGTTTGGGTCAAGGCGTAGGTCAGCTGAGGCGCGGATGACCTGCATGCCACCAGCCGAGACCCGTGCGACACGGGACGGCACCGCGTGGGCCAAGGCTTGAGTTCGCTGCGCTGCGTGCGACCCGCACGCCACTAGCCAAGTCCCGTGTGACACTGGACGGCCCTTGGTTGGGGGCGATGGCATAGGCTCGCGGTATTGCGAGTGACCCGCATGCTAGAAGCCAAGTCCCGCGCGACGCGGGGCGGAAATTAGGGGGCGGAACAACTCGTTGTGGAGTTCACAGTCGGAGTCCGTTGGATGGTGGTGGGTCTTATGCTTTTTCTGAGGGTCGGGTCCATCGGTCTAGCTTTTGTACCCGATTCCGGGCCAGCATCTTCAGCGCCAGGTCACGCGCGCGCCATGTCCGTGACCATTGTGGCTCAGACCGATTTGGACACCCCCTCTAGGAAAAACCCACCCGCCCACATCATCTCACAAATCTCCGCCTGCATGGCGGGCCGCATTGGGAGACAGATACGGCAGCCGATTCGCCTGTATGGCGCAGGCTGTCGCTTCTCCCCGGTTGCCTACGACCGGTTGCATTCAGCAGCTTCGAAAAACATAGTGCCATCCATCTCTGTCCTGGGGCGGGCGGGTGGGAACAGTGACGTCAGATTGGCGAATCAGCACAGCAGGTGGCGGACAACTCGTGCCCCCCAGAGCGTAGAACCTCGGCCACGCTCATCGGCGGACAACACTTCGGCAACATGGCTTAGCATGCTTCAGGCGCGGCAGAGGGGCAGTGAGGCTACATTTTTCACAACATGACCTACCGCGCAATTAACGAAGGTGCCCGCCCCTGCCGATGGGCATGCGTCGGCAGACCGTCGCCGTTATGAGGGCGGAATAATGCTGCATCGTGGAACCGGTCGATGGGGAGGCACGGGAACCTACCCCCTCGCAACGAAGGCAAATTTGTGCTTGCGAAGGTTACAATGGGCATACAAGCCCACATGTACCCTCACGTCGAATGCTACGGGGTTAAGGCGCGCCTCAAGCCACATAATTTCAAGTCCTCCTCCTCCTCCTCCTCCGCCCTCCTCCTCCTCCTCCTCCTCCTTCGCCCTCCTCCTCCTCCACCCTCTTCCCCCTCCTCCTCCTCCTCCTCCTCCTCCTCCTCCTCCTCCTCCTCCTCCGCCCTGAGTGGTGGCCTCTGTCGAGCCCCTCTTGGCAGCCGGAGGGGGAGACCTGGCCGGGCAAGCGCTCCACAGCCACTGTGGACCGCGGCGCTCCGCCGCCTTTGCCCCGTGCTCGTCGGCGCGAGACCTGCCGCGCCTCGGGGCAGTGGCTCTCTTCGTCATGGGCGGGTGCATCACGACCACTGCCCCAGTTTGGGCGGGCCGTCCCCCCAGACCCCCGATGTCCGTGACATGTGTAGCAACCTGGACGCCCTGCAGGTTTCGATGACTTTCCCAGGACTTGTTCTCCATCCAGAGTCGTTTTTGCCGACGGCCCTGGGGTTAGGTCGGGCATGTCCCCCTTCAGGCGGATTGATACCCAAAACATGCACTTAGATAGTCCAGCAATGCAAAACAAATCGTCCACGTGCAATGTGTTGACTATGTTTGAGTGTTTCTCCCGTAGAGGGACAGGCCCGACTTAAGCCCTGGGGCCCAGGGAGGGCCTCCAGAGACCGAGAACAGTCCAGACCTCCGTCGTGACGCGTGTTCTCGCCACGCGAGGCATGTCTGAGCCTCTGGCTCACCAGGCCTGGCGCGCCCTCGGGGAACCTTCGCGGGGGCTGGGGCTATGATATTCCAACCGACTTTAGCCTTGACCACCAGAAAGAATTTCTTCGAGCACCAAGAAATGACATAGACTGGAGGGTTTTCACGTGTCGGGCCCTGGGAGGCGATACTCGTTCGACACTGTGTCGATACTTTTTGGGTGCTCGAAATCTTGGAGATTTGATCTTCAAGTACGATGGGAGCAACATAAGACTGGGGCCCTGTTCCTCTCCCGTCCTCCTTGCCCGCCCATCAAGATTGCCCTCCATGGTGTCTCATCCTCCTACTCCTCCTCCACCACCGCTCCCTCCCCTTTCCGTCTCATCCTCCTCTTCCTCCAGCGCTCCTCTGTCCCCCTTTCGCCCACGCTCAGCACACCTAACCCCTCGTCTGATCATCTCGCCTTCGTCCCTCCTGATCTCTCGTCCTTCTCGTCCTCTTTGACGCCCTACCTGACGGCCTTGCCGACGCCCTACCGACGCACTGTTCGACGGGCTTCCCGGCGCACTACCCGATGGCCTTCCCGACGCCCTACCAATGCACTACCCGAAGGCCTTCCCGACGCCCTCCCGACGGCCTTCCCGGCACCCCACCCGTTGGTCGTCCTGACGCTCCTCCCCTACGGCTGTCCCGATGCTCCTCTCAACCTCCACCCCCCCCCCCCATCATCTGCATCAATCTGACATGAAGCAAACGGGTTCTGCATCCCCGGCACTTCCCCAGCACCAGCTCTTCACCCCGAGCCGATCTTTGGCAATTCCAAGGCCGGGTACGGCTCAAGCAGGCAAAAAACGACCGGAAACCTCAGAACACGTTTCCGTCAGGACGCACTTCTGGCAACAGAGGAACCATTACAAACGTAGGCATACTTGAGCAGGGTCCGACCGTCCTGGCATTCCTATAGGCCTACCACACAATGTTCTTAGAACCCAGATATGTTCTCAGAACAAAAACAATGTTCTTAGAACATAGCGCCGATGTATTACAACAAAACAGTCTCAGCCAGAACTGTTCTAAGACCATTTCGGGGAAAACACTGAAGGTTCTTAGAGCAATTCTTTGGTAGGCCTATAGGCGAGACAGGGCGCTTCACCACTGCTTGACATGCACTCTCAGAGGTCCCTGCGGATTTCTTGAATCGGCGCTGGCGCCTGGGGCGACGCCTGGGGCCCCACGCGGATCCGAGCAATCCGCGCGGACCCTTGCGAGTTGATGCTTCTGCCGCCTTCCCTCCCCGACACGTGGCGAACTCTGGGGCCGCGGCGCGGTACGCGCGAACGCTGCCAGACGCGTACAGGTAGTTGAGCTGGGCGTCGAGCTGGAAGTCCAGGGGGAAGACCGCCCCGTCCGACAGCAGGCGCTCGTGCCCAGGGCAGGCCAAGGCCACGGCGGGCATGCGCGTGGCAGGAGGCCGCAGCGCCTCTACGGGCCACCCCCAGAGTGACCTTGCAGAGGCCCTCAAGAGCATGTGAACGAATCCCCCGCCTTCCCCTCCTCGTGCCTCGTGCCCCCACGCCACCTCTTTTTCCTCTTCCCCTCCATCGCGCCTCGTCCCCGTCTCCGTCGTCGTCCCCACCCCCGTCGTCGTCATCGTCGTCGTCGTCGTTGTCGTCGTCGGCGTCGGCGTCGGCGTCGGCGTCGTCGTCTTCGTCGTCATCGTCGTCGGCGTCGACGAAGTCGTCGTGGTCGTGGTGCGTGACGCTCTGCTCGGGGCCCGTTTCCCCTACGCAGTGGCCACCATCGCCACCTCTGCCCCTCTTCCCCCGCCTTCTCCTCCTGAGGCGCCCGTCCCCACCATCCACTCGGGGGGGTCCAGGCGCCTCAGAGGGGGGAGGAATTCTGAGACCTACAGCTAGGTCGGGCATGTCCACCTACAGGCGGATTTTGGAAGAAACATAAAAAGTACACCAAAAATGCCCGACTTAAGCCTACAGGTGAACTTCTGGAGTGGCACGGAAAAGGCTCGTCCGTTCGGTGCGGGTCTGGCCGAAGCTGCCAGCTCACGCGAGCACGCCGGGTGATGCCTCCAGCAGCAGACCAGTGTGGAAAAGAAGGCACGAGGCTGAGGAGCACGAGGGGAGGACAGGGGAGGGCGGAAGGTGAAGATGGGAGGAGGAAGGGGTGAAGAGCGAGGACGAGCAGGAGGACGGCAGGACCAAGAGGAGCAGGGGGGCCAAGGGAGACCGAGAGTGGTATGAAGAGGGCTGCAGAGGACGAGGCCGACAGCGAAGAAATAAGTGTGGAGGGGCCACCGAGCCAGATTCGTCCAGATCGAACCCAAAAGCCAGCCAGCACAACACACGATTCGGCGGCTGGCTTCAATCGGATTGGCTGGGATCAAGACAGGCTCATCGCGATTTAGCCGACTGGCTTGCGACCACGGGTATACCAGAGCCAATGCGGAATTCTACCTCCCAGAAGTTGCAACCGAAGGTGGAGGAAGGGCCGGGGGGCAGGACGGAGGAGAAGACGGAGGGGAAACAGGCCACCGAGATGGCTACTCCCGGGACCTCTCTCCCAAGGCGCATTCGGACCAAAATGTCGAGGGGAATCCGACGAAGGCTCAGGACGAGCAGTGGTATCGGCACCTCGTCATACTCTGAAGACAAGGGGTGGCGCGAATAGGGGGGGGGGGGACCCAAACCCCCGACGTCGTAATCTTTTCACAACGTCGACCCCCAAAGGTCTGGACCCCCTTCCCTGGACCGGTTTCTCATCCTGGGTCGTTTTTTTGGACGGCCCCGGGGCCCAGTAATGGCCCCCCGGAGGCCGAAGCAAAGTTTTTTTCACTTCGCAGCGCGAGGGGCTCTGGGGGCAAAGGGCCAGCCGGGTCGCATGCCCTGCCGCGGCCGTGGCTGCCCTGGCCTGCGCCCGACCTGCTGACCAGGTAAGCGAACGTGCCCATCGGCGCCGCTGGGCCCCTCCGCCCCTGGAGGGGCCGCACCCTGCTGTGGCTCCGTGAGCGCCGGAGGCGTGGGATAACGGCAGGCGAAGAGGCGGCGTGACAGCACCGAGCGACAGGGGCGCACTACCGCGGATGAAACAAGAAGCGCGCCACTGATTCGAGACGTTGGACTTTCGCGATTCAAGATCCGCGGTGTCCCCGGTTCCGAGCTGGGCGGGATCGGCGGCTGCCGACGAAAAGGTAAACATTGGCGCGAAGAACGCGTGCAGGTTTTTGAGCCCCATATTGTCGTGGCCCGCGCTGCATGCATTCTCTTTGAACGGCGGAATTCCAACGTTACGACTTGGTACCGCGTTGATTCTTACATCCACGAAAGCTCACCCAAGCCTCTAACGGACCGAAAGAATGGAACGGATTATGTTTCACTTGTTTCTGCCTCCTGGAACCCTCGCTGGGCCCCAGGACGGTAGCAAGAAATATTCGGAATGAAAAACCAGCCCCGGAGAAAGCGCCACAGGACATGCGGGAACAGCGTATTTGACGCATCAAAACATCGGGTGTCTGGGCATGGGGGGGACATTGACTTGGAATTGGCGATGCATCGCCAACAGATGGGCGATAGTCTATCGACGGCGACGCCGCGCGTTCGCTGGCCAGTTGGGCTATCAGGCCCCCTATCGGCGATGCATGAGCGAGGCTATCAGGCCCCCTATCGGCGATGCATGAACGATTGGGGGTCGATGCGACCCCCCAGAGCCTACCGCCCTAACGCTGCCCCTGAAACTCTCCAGTGCTATGTCGCTATGTCTTTTTCAATCCAGGCACGTTTGCTCAACTCTGGCCACTGGCTGGCCACCGCCTCTCGCAGGGAGTCGAGAGGGGGCCATCACCCCTACCCAGGGGGTCGACGCCTCTTCGAGGAGGATGGCCCCCGCGGACCCCTAAGCGCCCGCGGAAGAGGAGGAGGAGGAGACACAGCGTTCCCCAAATATCCCAATCCCGCCTGAGCTGGCGCGCCTCGTGGAGCAACCGCTTGGCGACGAAGGGTTCCGGCGCCCAGCCGCGCGTGCTGGCGGCCGCGCAGAGGGAAACCTGATCGCCGCTCGCACTGCGGACAACAATGCGTCGGCCTGAAACAATTTGAGCTGGCGACACCTCCTCGAAGAGGACGACCCCCGCGGACCCCAAACGCCCGCGGGAGAACAGGGGACACAGCGTTCCCCAAGTATCCCACTCCCGCATCGCCACTCGCGCTGCGGGCAGCAATGCGTCGGCCTGAGAAAACTCGAGCGGGCGACCTGGTCTCGCGACCGTCGCGGCATCGCTACGGTAGTTAGTAGTGATCTCTCACAGCGGCATGACTTAAACGGCCTCCCAGGCCGAAGCGGGCAGCCATCGGCTCGGGGAGATCCGAGCGCAGGGCAGAAGCATCGTGGAAGCGGAGGTGTGTGCAGTCACATATACAGTGAGTGATGGCGCTCGCAGCAATGCGAAGTCGAACGTGCAAAATGCAATGCTCGCGCTCGCGCGCCGCACCCGAAAATGCAAAATGGCGGTCGCTGCAATTTTTCTCCTGGAGTCCAAGCCCCCAGCCACTCCTCCAGGATAGTGGGAGGCGAGGAAGGAGAGAGTCAGGACATGGCCGCCCACGAAGGTCCCGAGCCCACCCACGCGCCCACGAGCGACGGCAGGAACCATTTGCTCACCCTCTGCTCCAAGAAGCCCTCAGGCGGGAGACCAAACGCGCGTGCCTGAACTGTCCTTTTCCGCGCACGAGATGCGATGCTACTTGGGCCGCGCATCCGATGAGTTTCCACGGGCCCGCCCCATAGCCCTTGCCCCGCAAGACCTCGGGCGCCGATCCGCGGAAAACCGGCGGGCAGCAGCAGCGGCAGCGGGAAGATAGGAGACGAGCGGAGATAAACGCCAGAACAAGGGGGCCATTAGCGGTGAGCACCAGAACGCCATCGGGCGGCGCTGCCGTAGACATTCTTCCGGCATGCGCAGCGTCTGACCAGCAGGGGGGGGGGGGCAGGGCGGCGCGCGTGGCGGCAGTCGCTGCGGTTGCAAGTGGGGGCCGAACCCTCGGCCCATGTATCGCCTCGAGATTAAGCCAGTCGGAGTACTGCGTGGCCGACGCCGGGCACGTGACAGCTTGGGCCAGGCGCTGTCTTCCGATCTTCGCGGCATCCAATGGGGCCGGGACGCGCTGGGATAATATCTCACATCTCATTAAGAGCGCCCCGGTCTGGGCCAACGGCGGGCCCGATCCAGAAATCCAGCCACGGCGCCTCGGACGCGATGTCGATGTCAAAATCCTTCCACCAGGGCGAGAGCGAAGGGGCCACTCCACCCTCGCGCGGCTGTTTCGCACGAAGGAGCAATGGGCGCAGGTGCGCTCTGAGCTCGTCGCAGGCTGTTGACATTAGCGGAAAGACGCCGCAGTTGGAAGCCACGAGCACGAGACCTGCGAGAGCTGCGCAGCCCTGCACACGCGAGCCATTCCTCTATAGGCTTCTGGGCGCAGCGAGACCGCGCAGACGTCGTCGGCGCGCGCGCGGATCTGTCCGAGCCCAAGAGTCTGTACTCTGAAACATATTTACAACTGGTCGCGATCACGAAATTAACTACTCCCGCCCATTGGGCACCCCTGGATGACGCTTGCGGAGACAGAGGCCGGGATGGCAAAAGCCCTGGACGTCGCGCCGGCAGCCTCGAGGCAATCTTATCTCGCGCGCCGCGTGCATCGCCCAGTCTTGGCGGGCAAGCGGGAAAGCCCGGTGGGAATGGAAGGCGGCCAGCGCCGCCGATCGAGTCCCGAGCGAACTCCAAGAGCGAGCGCGCGCGCACAACTCGCGCGCGTTCTGCAATCAGATACGACCGCGGGCGAAGCCTCTTTGACCGCGGGCGCCAACCTTGCTCGCGACGCGTGAGAGACATATGTCGGCGACCCCCGCCACCGCCACGCTGCCCATGTTTATGGTGCCATTCGGGCGAACGTCGCCACGGTGCCGGGCCGCCACGCCAGGAAACTTCCTCTGGGACCGAAGCTTGGAGGCGGGAGTGATCGGGAGGGGCGCCGCGAGACCTTGGGCGAGCCAATGGAGGGCCGCCAAGAGCACCGGCGGGCCCTGGCCGAGACCCCGCGACGCGCGCGCCAGCGCGTCAGGGCCGGGCGTCGAGCGAGGGGCCCTCGACAAGGACTTCAGCACAATGGCAAACACGGGCGGGGGGCGCTCGACAACGTCTCGTTCGCCCGCAAACTTGGACGCGCATTGCTTGCCCCGCGGGGGAATGGCGACCTGCTTTTCGAGGCGACCCCCCGGAGGCCGATCGGCGCGGCGGCCCGCCCTTCCGCCGACAGACCCCCCCCGACCCACCCGCCCCCCGCCACTGCCGCAAAGAATCTCCTCCGAGGAGATGGCAACCGGATCCTCGCTGCGCGCCTGAGAGTTCGCCGCTGGGCGCGGGGGCGAAAACGTCGGCCAGTCGCGCCCCGCTCGCTCTCTGCCGGTCGGAAGCGGGCGCGCCCAGCCTGGGCCCCCAGCGACTGGCAGTCGGCGCGGGCCCTGGCGAAGGCTCCGGGCGAGGCGAGCAGAGGCAGGGAGGAGGAGGGGCCGACCAAATAGAAAATAAATCTCGAAGGCGGACGCCCCGGCCCGATCAGGTCACCCAGACGGAAGTCCCAGCGCCAGACGGCATGGGCGAGCGAACGGGGCGCGCGCGGGCGGCGCTCGCGCGTCCTCGGCCGACCACGAAGCTGAAGATCTCGCGCAGCCCTCGCCGGCGCCAGCCGGCGCACGGTGGCCAGCTCGAGCTCCGAGCGGTTTCAGATCGCCAAGAATCTGCCCGAAGATCGGGCCCTTGAAGGTCGCGCGAAGGATGCTTGCCCAGCGGGTCGCCCCTTCATCTTTCCAGCGGCGCATCTGCCAAGAGACCGCGAGCGGACCGCGGTCGGGCAACTTGGCGCCGTGGACAGGCTTGCCGCGATGCCTCGCCACTTGCCGCAGCTGACAAAATAGCCCGCGCGGTGGCGCGGCGAAACGACGAACGATTCTGGCACTTGTTTTCGGCGACCTGACGGAATGATTCAATCCTGGCACAACTAATTCTGTCAACTGCCAGAAGATCGCGCGTCGCCCGCCGCCGCGCGCACGCGCCTGGCGGCCTGCGGAGGGGCGGGCGGCAACGAGCGCAGCGGGTCGAGAGTCGCCATGCGGCGCGTGGCGATTTCGGATATACTGGAGGCGCTGCTGCAATCGAGCCCCCATCAGCAAAATCGACGCCACCAATCATGACCAGGCCAGATGTGAAGGCAGCGCATCGAACCCGAGCGGCCCGGCGATGGAGCTCTCGCTTGGTGACGCCGACCTCGCTGCCTTCCATGTCGCGGCCATTGGCGCGCCAGCGGCGCCAGCGGAACCCCGGGGTGCGATGAAGAGAAGAAGCGCAGAGGACGCGCCCCTCCACAACCTCGCACCAGCCGAGCCTCCACCTGGAGGAAAAGAGAAGCGAATATCTCGACCTTGCATCGCGCTCGAGATAAGAGCTCCGCAACTGCATCGCCTGACCCATGTGATTCCCGCCGGACAGCGATGCTGGGCGGGCCCGGGACTGGGTGAACAAAAGCAGATTTCCGTGAGGGACAGACTCGAAGAAGGATGGTGAACAAAAAGAGCACGAGTTCCAGCTTGCGAAAACCAACTTACCAGAACTCAAAACTACATTGCCCACTCCACCCGATGCTCATGGGCAAGACAAGGAATGACATTGGCGACGCGCTCTGGCTCGCAGCGAGAGGGGGCGAGTGGCACCAACAACACATCGATATTCAATTGCACTTTGGTGGGCTCGACCGCATCGACTTGCACCCAGGCCAGAACCTCCCGGTCGATCAAAACCGTGCCAGTTTCCTTGTCCACCATGACGCGTCTGCCAAGCAACTCCCCCAAAACCGTTCTGAGCTATTTGGTGCTGCGCTCCCTGGCAATCTCGAAACGATTCCGTTCCGCGCTG